AAAAAAAAAAAAAGGAAGATAAAATATCCCATGTACTCAGTACTATTATGAAACCAATTTACAATCACTCACACTTTCATATGAAGAATAGATCACAACTGTGGCCCAGGATGAAGGAAGGAGGATGGGGGGATGAGAGGGAAGGGGGGAGGTCAGATCAAGGGAGGGTGAAGAGTGGGAACACACCTATGGTGCATAATGCAAGGGTACGTATTGGATCTATTAGTATAGAGTATAAATGTCTTAACACAATAATTAAGTAAACAAGATGTGGTATATATTAACCAGTGTGATGTAAATGCTCCTAATTCTATATGAAATTTGCACAATGTGCCCCATAAATGCACTAATGTATACATGATCTATGTGTTTATGATTTAATAAAAATTTCTTTAAAAGGTAGAGAGCTGAATAAAATAAGCTAGAGGCAATTTGATTTTAAGGGAATTGGTTTCAGATAGATTATAAAGCAAAATCTTAAAGAAATACACAAACAAAATACACAGTGAAATGTTACGGACCACCCTTCCCTTTTCTGGCTTGTTGGTTTTGCAGCTCCTCTGGTGATTAATCTACAAGGAAATACAAGGGCAAGGGGAGTTAATATGCACTGTCCCTGCTGCTCTCTAACAGTTAGCGAAGCCTCTGGTAAGGGAAAAATACTAAGGGAAATAAACATTTCTTTTTTAATTTTAATAAAATTCTTCATTTCTTAGGAAGATTTATTTGAAATTCAAGTAGTATTAATCTACGTCCTACCATAGAGAATGGCCATTCCCTCAAACATGTAAACCTGAAATAGAAAGTGAGGAGAGAAAATAAGAAATAAAAATGAACAAGGAACTTTGTAAAAGTTGAGCCATACCTTGTATCTCGAAGACCACATCAGCGAGCATTGGCTTGTTGAGAAAAAACTTGAGAGAAGTGTTATAAAACCACAGAGGTTTTCTGGCTTGATAGGTTTTGCAATTCCTTAGGCAATTAATCTATAAGGAAATACAGGGGGACGGTGGGTTAATATGCTTTAATAATATATAGGCTGGGTGGAGAATTTGGAAAATTGTGCTAAATTTCTCAAGAAATAATAATTACTATTCTATGGCATCTTTGATCATAGCTTTCAAGGAACATTATCTTCAAGAATTACATCTGCTGCCTATCAGTGAGCAACACTCCTCTCTCCATCATTCACAGTAGTAAATGAACTGCCTAAGTGAAAACTACAGGTAAGAGGCTGGAGAGTCCTGAATCCCTGTGAGTCTTTGTTAGGAAACAGACACCCTCATGTGAATGCCTACCAATATAGCCTGACACACACAACCTAATTTGTTCAATAAGAAAGCACACAGGCTTGGTGCATGTAGCACAGTAGTTATGGGACCAGCATATACATCAAGGGTGGCAGGTTCAAACCCAGCCCAGGACAGCTAAACAATAGCTAAATAACTGCAACCAAAAAATAGCCAGGCGTTGTGGTGGGTACTTGTAGTCCCAGCTACTTGGGAGGCTGAGGCAAGAGAATTGCTTAAACCCAAGAGCTGGAGGTTGCTGTGAGCTGTGACACCCCAGCACTCTACTGAGGGTGACATAGTAAGACTCTGTCTCAATTTTTTTTTAAATAAAAAGAAGAAAAAAAAGCACATAGATGGAAATTTAGTTTCTAGTTAAGAAAAATATATCCCCTTCTTATCACACGGTGTTATTTTACTGTTTAATAGCTCAGCATTTTCTCTTAAAGGAATGAATGCTAAAAAATACATCAGGGCGAAGAGTCGGCTCTTCTCTGTCTTAATCTCCAATCTTAAACTCCTAAATACCCTCCATACCCACAGCAGAGAGCCTGAATGAGAGCAGCCTGGCTAGATACTCTAGCCTCCCTTCTGGGGTCTCTCCAAGCAGCTCCTTGTCCCAGTCCTACAACTGGAAAGCCGCCCCCCTTTCCTCACCAGCCACCCACTTCTTTCTGTTTTACTTACTCGTTACATACAATGGATCAACTAAGCCTGTACAACATTTTCAGGGAGACTTACCCAAAAGATGAAGAAATAGTAAGTCCTTTTAAAAGCTAGAATTCATTCCGGCTGTAATCTTGCTTAGAGCCTATGTGGTATACTATAGCCTCTCACAGGGAATGATTTAGTTATGACTTTTCTTTAAATACGGTAGAACTTGCATAGTTGGCAAACTCCCTACAATGATCACCCCCTTAAGTTCACCAAATTTTCAAAGACTAGACAGGCACCACATATTCATTTCAGCACAGTAGGCCTAGTTCCTGGTTTTCACTGTTAGATTGGCCAAATGAACACCATTGAAACTATTAAGCCAGTCTGAGAGACTCTACTACACATGGATATGACTCAAGATTAGACAGAATGACCCCATCTCAACTGTGAAGCCAATCTGAGAGTCTCTGCTACAGGCAGACACGACTCAGATTAGAGAGAATGACCTCATCTGAACTGTGAGGCCAGTCTGAGGGACTCTGCTACAGGCAGACATGATCAGATTAGAGAAAATGACCCCATCTCACCTGTGAAGCCAGTCTGAGAGACTCTGCTACAGGCAGACATGATCAGATTAGAGAGAATGACCTCATCTCAACTGTGAAGCCAGTCTGAGAGACTCTGCTACAGGCAGACACGACTCAGATTAGAGAGAATGACCTCATCTCAACTGTGAAGCCAGTCTGAGAGACTCTGCTACAGGTAGACATGATCAGATTAGAGAGAATGACCCCATCTGAACTGTGAAGCCAGTCTGAGAGTCTCTGCTACAGGCAGACACGACTCAGATTAGAGAGAATGACCCCATCTCAACTGTGAAGCCAGTCTGAGAGTCTCTGCTACAGGTAGACATGATCAGATTAGAGAGAATGACCTCATCTCAACTGTGAAGCCGGTCTGAGGGACTCTGCTACAGGCAGACATGATCAGATTAGAGAGAATGACCCCATCTCAACTGTGAAGCCAGTCTGAGAGTCTCTGCTACAGGCAGACATGATCAGATTAGAGAGAATGACCTCATCTCAACTGTGAAGCCGGTCTGAGAGTCTCTGCTACAGGCAGACATGATCAGATTAGAGAGAATGACCTCATCTCAACTGTGAAGCCAGTCTGAGAATCTCTGCTACAGGTAGACATGATCAGATTAGAGAGAATGACCCCATCTCAACTGTGAAGCCAGTCTGAGAGACTCTGCTATAGGCAGACACCACTCAGAGAGTTGTGCTCATCACATCCTTTCACTGGCCCTATCGTAGACCCACCTGTGAGAAATATGCGGATACTGCAAGCCTCTGACATTCAAATAAGTAGAGCCTTCTGGGAGTCCCAACAGTGAGATGACATCTTTGACATTTTAATAAGAACAACAGTTGGGTGGTCCTTGATAGAAACCACCTCCCCCCAGCCAGCTATCACAGACCCTCAACGCTGGCATTCCTGAACCCTGGCCTCCCTACCCCTTAACATCTTTTAGATCTTAGCCCACTTGCATCCAAGTGTCAAAATAATGCCACCTTTGTTACCCCCGGTCGTGAGTGTTCTGATCTGCTCCTTTTCAGTTTTTACCTATCACTGACCACCTCCACATGCTCACTGGTTTGTTACAGTCCCTTGGGTGGTTCACTTAGAGATGTTCTACTGTCTATTTAAACCATTCCTGCTGGCTTCACTCATTCCCCTGCTCAATCTCAGAACCTCAGCCCAGATGAGAACTCTGACCCTCTGGCTTAGCAAGGTGGGAACTAAACAAGCTTCATTGCTAAGAAATAATCAGATGTACAACTTGAGCAAGGAAAATGAATGACATCCACTCCGCACTCTGGATAAACTCTTATAACAGGAAGTTTGAACATCTTTGGCCAAGAAAAAAAAGATCCTCCCTTTTTTCATAAGGAAGGACACCTCAGTACGGTATCCACAAACAAGGCAGAGGCACAGCACACCCACACAAATCTGAGTCCTGCAGACACCACTGCAGACCCGGGTGCCACACACCGTGCCATACACTGAAGGACCTAGGGACAGCAGTCCTGTGACTGTCACATAGCGAGGGGAGTAACAGTCAAAAAGCATCACAGAACTGGAGAGTCAGCAGGGGCTTCTGAGACCAGCCACTTTATACTTCATCTTACAGGAAGCCCTGACTTCCAAAGCCACAGAGGTAATTTGTGGCAAACTGACAATTTTAATCGAAATTTCCTGAGTTCCAATTCAGTGTTACACCCCTGTGTAGTACTTAGTGAGTTCCTTACCCTAGGAAAGTATAGAAAGAAAGGGTAGGAGGGAATTTAGTGCAGTATCATGGAATTATAGTCCCAGCTCCCACTTCCCCAACAAGAATTCACTTTATTCTCAGTACTCAAAATAGTATGTTCAGAATTAGACTCAAGTAAAGGTGCAGGGCCAGAATAAAAACCAACACTTTTGCTCTTATCAGTTACATCAAGGTTATGAACTTGTGTATTGTAAATATTGTATAGATGTATATTATAGAAGAATGTGTATATGTGTGTATGTACCCATATACACACTGAAAGAAGGGGAGAGAGAGGGTGGAATGGAGGGATGGAGACAAAAATCTGTATAAAGACATTCCCTTAGCACTTGTGCTTTGAATTTGAAAAAAAAAGAAATGGAGGGCAGAAGTTTGGAGAGAATACAGATATATACATTTAACTGGTTCATACGTAAGCTAATCTAGGTCACTAAATTAACTTTTTAATACAGGCACATGGATGTAGTTTTACAAAAAGATTATTTAGTTGTGCTGGGTTTCAAGAAAGCTGCTGTCCTGCCATGCTCCTGTGGACCTGGACAGCTTCTGCATACCCACTGCAGTGTGCCACTAGACAAAAGAAAGATCTGTCCCCTTAATTCTGTGCCGCTTTGCTATTTTTTTAAAAAGATCATTTTCTAAATTAAAGGTCAAAATCTTCATTTAAAGCTAGTACACTTTTATATGCTTTTAAAAATTAACTTTAAAATGTTAATAACTTAGGCTGCAAAACTGACAAAGTTGTCTGTGTATAAAAAATTAAAGAAAATCTTTTTTAAATATTTAATATAAACCTGTATTTTGCTAGGTGTTCCACCCAACTTACCTTTCTATCTAGCAGCCAATTGTTTATCACAGACTTTGAAATAAGAGTACACCAGCTAAATGTTGTAATGTCTTAAAATGTAACAAATGTACTTATAAAGCCCTCTGAGATTCATTGCAATCCAAGTTGCTGGAGTTTTAATATGCACAAATTTATGGCCAAGTACAAAGTCTGTATTTGTATAACTTAGAAGCTAATTTATAATTTTGAAACTGTACTTGATGAGAGAATCCTTAACTGTCAATTATTTAAATAAATTGCTCAGAACTCCTAAAAAAAAATCCTGTGCATAAACTGCCTTGCTCCCCAACACTACAGGTTTAAATTCTAAGGAGTGGAAAAGCGCTCCTCCTAATAGCCTAACGGCAGCTGTAAAATGAGACAGCCTCATTCTCGACACGGATCATGTATTCCTGCAGCTCCAGGGGAGTGTTTCAGAAGCAGGAATTCACTAATGAACATTTTAAAGCAGTGACTCACACTTTTTTTTTTTCCATGTCAGATTACTTTTATTAAGAAACTTAAAGAAAATTTGGGTTTTCTGATGTCTTATTACATTATAAACAGTTAACAAATTTGTAAGCATTTTATTTTAGTGTGGTACCACTATATAATTAATTGATTTTTTAAAAAATTGTAGTGAATTCAGGTATTTATTTTCTTTTTAAAAAAATTTTTTAATTAAATCAAATTAATATGAGGGTATAAATTTTAGGTTACATTGCTCTCATTTCCAGGGTAAAGTTCCATTTGTAGAGGAGCCCCTCACCCGGGGGGTGTGCTATACACCCTCACAATGTGCACTTAGGTGAGATCCTGCCTCAGCCCTCCCCTCCCCGCTGCTGCTTCCCTCTACCCCCAAACCACACTATCATAGTGTTTTCTGTTCTTAGGAACATGTCATTGTTTATATATTGATTTCATATTGGTGTGGAGTACATTGGATATTTATTTTTCCATTCTTGTGATACTTTACTAAGAAGAACGTATTTCAGCTCCATCCAGGAAAATGTAAAAGATGTAAAGTCTCAACTTTTTTAATGGCTGCATAATATTCCATGGTGTACATATACCACATTTTGTTGATCCATTCATGGGTTAATAGGCATGATGCACACGTTTTAATTCTTACATATTAAAATTTAAGATGGTAATAAACAGCATGTGTTTATACTTAAAATGTTTAAGTGATAAAAATATAGTTAAGGAAAACATTTGTATTTATATAGTATTTGTTCTAATGACTCAATATTATATTCATCATAGTGTATCAATCACAATTCAGAGAGTCAAAGAAAACTAATTACAACAAATTAGTTTACCTTTCCTGGTGTTTTTAAAATGCATTTAACTTTCTCAATTACATTTGAAACATCCCCAGAATCTTTCAATTTCTTCCTGATATCTTCTTCCAATTCTTCCCACTGAAAAGCACCTGTAAACAAATTAGTACATGTTGGATTTTTCTAACTGATAAAGTAAAAGGTAAGAAAAAGAATTCTCTTCTAAAATATCAACATTTCCCCTTTTAGTATTTTCTTTTAATTTTTATTTACCAAAACTATATCCTTATAATTATACTAAAATATTTAAACAACTCTCACGTTTTCGAAAAATCAATTTGCTTTCCCCTAAATTATTACACAAAACCTGAAGTCTTCCTCCTCCGGCAGCTACCCCTCTATGTAACAGGTGGCCAGGGAGTGTCAATAAAAATGGCTCAAGATAAGTGATCCCAAACCCAAGTCATCCACTGGGTCGAGAGGACAGCAGTGCCTACCCTCAGGTAGAGGAGTGTGCAGCAGAAACAGAACATATTCAGGTCTCGTGCATGGTCAGGTAGGACTGGGATGTGTGCAAGGCAACTCCACAAAACCAACTTGAGGCTGGGAACTACATGGTCCTGATGAGCTACAAACCCCATGCCACTGGGCAGAATCACCCCACCTTCCCTGTGCTCACCCCTGCCCCTCAGAGCGCCCTCCTCCTAGGCTCATGCCACTTCTTTCTTCCACTCTGTCGCCCCTTTCTCTGTGCCTTACAGCACTGCTATTCTGTGGTGAACAAAAGCTGACCTTCCCCCCAACACTCCTCTTACTTTGCCTGCAGCAGCCTCCTATCCATCCTCCTCCCTCACAGCCTTTTCCCTGTGGAATTTCCCATTACTCAATGCTGGGAAGCTTTCCAATTCCAGAATCTGAAATAAGAATACACTAGCTACATGTTATAATATCTTCAGATTCAACAAATGTACTTTTAAATTTTAAAGCCTTTATAGACTCGATACAATCTAAGTTGCTGGAGTTTCACTGAGCACAAGTTTCTGAATCAAGGATTCTGATCATATTCCAAGAGATTGCCCTCATCTATTTTGTGGCTTATGGAAAAGTCTCTAATTCCTAAAAATATAATGCAAACTGGGCATGGTGGCTTATAAGGTTGTGAGGCAGGGGGACTGCCTGAGACCAGGAGTTAGAGACCAGCCTGGGCAATATGGTGAGACCCCCATCTTTACAAAAAATAGAAAACTTAGCAGGGCATAGTGGCACATGCCTGTGACCCAAGCACTCCGGGAGGCCAAGGCAGGAGGACTGCTTGAAGCCAATAGTCTGAGACCAGCCCAAGTAAGAGCATGAGCCCATTTCTACAAAAAACAGAAAAACTAGCCAGGCATGTTGACAACCACCTATAGTCCCAGCTACTTGGGGAGCTGAGCCACAAGGATCCCTTGAGCCCAGGAGTTCAGGCTGCAATGAGCTATGAGGACACCACTGTCCTCCTGCTGGGTAACACAGCAAGACCAAAGAACACCAAAATAAAAATGAAATAAAATAACTCAAAAAAGAAAGCAATACAGCGAAACTTTATCTCTAGAAAAAAATTTCAAAAAAAGAAAAATGTAATTCAAAAGTGCTGTGTGGGCAGTTATAGTTAAGAGACTTAGAAGGTAGATTTTTGCTATCGGCTACTGGTGCAGCTTTAAACCAGTCACTTCACCTCTCTGGGCAAAGACTCCCCATCTATTTTTTCCTGGTGTTTCCCTGCCTGTGTTCAGCTCTCTGCCAGACGCCTTCCTGACTCTGGGGAACACCAGAGTAGGGGTGGGGTGGAGGGGTGCGGGCTCCAGACTCCTCCCAGCTAAGCCAGGCAGCTCCTCCTCGCCTGGCTTCCCTCCTCACCTGTGTGTCCTGTGGATGAGAAGCCCTGACACGCACCTTTACCATTTCTCTAGCATAATTCTCCCCCCACGGCCAAATCCAAGCTACCAACATGAAGGACATCAGAGAACCCAAAACCGGGATGATACACACAGCTGGGCTTTCCCAGCTGTCCGGCGCCATTGCCCCTGCGGCTTCCCGCCGTTGCCCACCTCTGCTCGCTCTGTGTTGTGCCTTTGCTGTGAGCCCCATCAGTCTCAAATGCCCACGGGAGTATGGTCTGGAAGAATTCTGTGCTTCCCATTCTCCTCCTCCTGCACCAACATGTTTAACGCTGAGGTCATATACTCTTTTCACAATCTGATAATTTTTACATGCACACACAGATGGTAAAGTTTGCATAAACATGTCAGCAGTTAAAGAATCGCTTAGAAGCCAATGGACCACAGCTAGGAAATTTACTCCGTGCCAGTGATCCTCAGCCCTAGCTGTGCACTGCATTTACCTGGAGATCTTTCATAAAATACCAAAGAGGAGCCCTGATCCCCAGAATGAGCAAACTAGAATTTCTGGGGCTAAAAGCCACTGGTGTGACTCCCAGGTATACTGAGGGCTGCTGGTTAACCTGCTCTTCCTCTAGAGCTATAATTTTTGACCGGTGTGCATGAAAAGTTTTAAGATCATTATTTAAGCTATTTTTGAAAGACATTCCAAGCACAATATTTTTTGATCAGCATAATTTAAGTGTACTGTGGAAGGTTCAAGTGTGCTGTGAGAGAAAAAAGGTTGAAAATCACTGCTTTAGAAATTTCACTCATCACTAAAACCCAGGGGTAGAGGCATGGAGCACAGTGAGTGTGGGACCTGGGATGGTTTACGTTCTCAGAAGCAGGGGAGAGCCCAGATACTGTCTCTTTGTTCTCTTTTCACATAACGGTGCATAAATTATGTCATATATAAGTCAAAGTTACACTAATTATATAAGTAGAATTATATTAACTAACAAACACCTGCATTCAGATTATCTGGAAGCCTCAAGTGATCTTAGCACACAGGCCGTGGGTGAGTCCCCACATGCCACACTGTCCTGTCTGAGGACACAGAAAGAAGCAATAACTGAAAATGACAGTGAGACTCATTCTTCAGAGCAAGCTAAGGAGTGGCTGTTTCTATAGTGAGAAATGCTAATTGAGTTGGGTCCTAATAAAGCAATAACCCTCACGCTGGGATTTCCCATGCGCATGTGTGTGTGCTGAAAACATTTTACATGCGTTCCTCCCTCGTAGCCCACTTGGAGTCCATAACACTGTTGTTAACAGGCTTAACGGCACATGACAGATCCCCAGACTTACTCATCTTGCATCAGTGACTGGGATTTTCATTACTTCTCAGACCACTTAATTAGACTTTAGAGAGCATGACATGCCTGAGGGCATGAGGCTGGGTTTGTGCACTGCGGAAAGAGCCGAGAGCGCTGCCCCTCACTGAAGGCCGAGCTTACATCCCTGGTCATCCACTCTGGTGCCACTTCAGTAAGGGATGACAAATTCTAAGGGCCACCTGTGGCAAGAAAAACTCACTAAATTCCAGAGGCTCTCACAGATATTTCGATTCCTAACCATCTGAGGTCATGTGACTCAAGAATTTGTGAGTATAAGATGTGCTGTCTACTGCAAGGACGTTACCAGTGTACACCACGGAAGGGGCACTCCCTGCAGCCCAGGAAACTGCCGGCCTCCTTTCCTTAGGCTCAGTCAGTATGCTCTTAGACACGACACAGTGTTTGTGTTATCCAAAGAAAACTAACAAACACAGAACAGACATACCAGTACTGGGTCGACTTAAAAATCTGAGTAAGAAAACAAACGGGAGCCTTATACTACATACGCTGGTGTAAAATATTAACCAGGTTAATAAAGCCCTCCTCACAGAGCCAAATGTCCCTGTTGAAACAATATCTACAAAATTTCAAATCCCTAAAAGTTATAAAAAGTGTGTTACTTTAAAAAAATTAAGATAGTCTTTGTAATTGGTTCTTTTTTTTTTAAATAGACAAGACACATGTGTATTAAGGTTTTCTGGCCTGTGTCTGCACAGGGTAGATGTTCTGAGCATTCACATCCTGAGCGGAGCTCTGCGTCTGCCTCAGCAACCCACGTGGTGTGAGGGTGAGCAAAGGGCTCCTTTCTCAACGGTTCTCTAATGTCACCGGGGAGGCCATGGTGCATTACTTACTGTCTCTTAAAACTGGTGTTCTTTTATAAGATTTTAAAATGTTAAAAAGAAACTCTAGCCCCTGTATTGGAGTCTGAGAAGAATGTAGGTTTAAAATTTAGTTGGATTTGAATTTTTAAAAAATTTATTTAGTAGAGATAAGGGTCTCACTCTTGCTTAGGCTGGAAAACTAGCCAGGCCTAGTGGCAGGCACTTGCAGTTCCAACTACTCAAGAGGCTGACAAGAGGATCACTTCAACACAAGAGTTTAAGGTTGCTGTCAGCTGTGATGCCACAGCACTCTACCCAAGGTGACAAAGTGAGACTCTGTCTCAAAAAAAAATTAATTAAAAAAAAATAAAATAGTAACTTACACATAAAGACTATAGGGCAAAACAAAACATCAGATTTTACACATTTTCTTTTAATGGTGGAATCAGAAAGATTTTTTTTCTTGTAACAAATTTTCTGCATTTTTCAATGCTGTCTTTCCTGTGCAAATACAGCTTTAATATTTTTTTAAAACCTAACTTAAAAGATAACTTGTGCTTGAGTCATGGGTTATAATCTGTAAATGATTAAACAATAATTAATAGGTACCTGCAGAACCAGTTATTGTCCCTTCTCGACCAGCATCAGGGTCTCTCGGCAGCCCCAGGTCAATGGCCTAAACCCCACTCATACCTGACACCACCTCTGGCCTTGGCCGTGGCGTACAAGGAAAGATCAGAGCAGAAATGGACAGTTCAGTGTCAGGTTAGGAAGTCGGTACTCTGAACTGGTTGAGGGCCTGTCGCTCAGCAAGCTCTCTATACCTTCATGCCCACCAGCTCACTAATCCCCATTCTGGGCTCACTTGGTTTCCACCTCTCTGCTAAGCATCGCTCCCCCCACTTCAGGCAGAGACACATAGTGCACTAAGCACTCTGCCCTGAACAGCTCCACATCAGTCACCCTTTTTGACTATGAGCCCTAAACTCGTAATTGGCTCCTCTCCCAGGCCAAACCTCTGTGTTGAATTCTGGGCTCTAAGTCACTGGCTGGAGCTAGTTCCCAGTTCTTCCAAAAGCAGGTGTTCCAGATGCTTCTGGCAGCCCACAGCATCAGCACCGCCTGGGAGGCTGTTAGAACAGCAGAATTTCCTGCCCCACTCCAGGCCTACAGAGCCAGAATCTGCACCTTAACAGGAGCCTGGGTGACATCCTTTAAGGTGTGCAAAGCTTTGGTCTGAGTGACAGAGGGCCAACAGCAAGGCCACTCACTGGGCCCCACTGGGCTTTATACTCTGACCATTGCTGGAGATGGGCTTCCTAATCTGCTTCTTCCTCAAACTCCAGCACCACTTCTAGTAACAGCAGGGATGCTTCCCCAGGCCTCACCTGCTCCCTTATCCCCAGCCACCACCTTCTATGCCTGCTGCAGCCATGGGGAGCCACTGGCACTCTCTGGAAAACGGCAGCTGTCAAGGAGTACATCTTCATTAATGTAAGATTCCCCCGTGACCTCTTTAAATAATATCAAATGAAGACATATAAATCTTACAACAGGTGAATGACTCCCAGGAAAGGGCCCGGGGTCTAAGGAGAGCTCAGGTGAGTGACTCGGAGGAAAGGGCCCGGGGTCCAAGGAGAGCTCAGGTGAGTGACTCCCAGGAAAGGGGCTGGGGTACAAGGAGAACGTTTTCTTTTCTTTTCCCTTTTTTCCAAAAACTCACTCAGTAGGAGAAGCCTAGGCAGGCTCAGTCACGAGAGGACATCGAACTATCTTTCTGGTCCCATACTAAACGGGGTACCACTGACTTTGGAGTGTTCATGTGCCACTGAAAGTATTCAATGGAAACTGTGGCAATTTGCTGAATAATTTATATATTTCAACAAGAAAGTCATCAAAAATAAAAGTCAAACATATCCTTCAGAATTCCTTAAACACTTCATTAAAAATGTTTATTTCAGGCTCAGGTGGGTAGATTGCTTGAGGTCAGGAGTTCAAGACCAGCCTGAGCAAGAGTTAGACACTATCTCTCCTAAAAATAAAAAAAAAGCAAAAACCAAAAATCTAGTCAGGCATGGTGGCACACACCTGTAATCCCAGCTACAGGAGACGGTGAGGCAGAGAGATCACTTGAGCCTGAGAGTTTGAGGTTGCTGTGAGATATGACACCACAGCCCTCTACCCAGGGTGACAGAGTGAGACACTGTCTCAAAAAAAAAAAGAAAAAAGTTTATTTCTCTTAATGTAAATATTTTAATTTCTCAAAATGAGTCTAAAATTCTGAAGTGTGAGATTCTAGGTTTAAACATTAAAATCTGTAGTACAAAATAAAGCTCATTTATGTGGTGACTCCCCAACTAGAGCCTTTACAGAACTGAGATGTAGGAGTTGAGTGTCTGCTGTCCAGGTCTGATTTATGTCTTTTCCTAGCTAACATTCACTGACCTATCATCACATTCTATTCCTATAGATATGTTTAATCTACATAAATCTGTATGATGTAATGGAAATTTTCAAAACCATAATTTAAATTTTAACTTATAAAATGATACAACTATAATCCAAATGAAAAAGTATTATCTTATTTTTAACATTAACTATTTAAATAATAAGGTCCACCCCAAATTTTCATACCTATATCAAATGATACTTGTTTTCTTTATTTGCACACCTCGGTAAACTTATCTGTTTCCAATCTGAAGCCTAAACGCAGCCTTGAAGTGCTTCTCCAGATACATTCCAGAGAGGAGTGGCCTTAGCCTAATCTCTCATCAGAACGGAATTCCAAGTAGGAAAAGAAAACTTAAGAACAGAGGAGTTCTCAGAAAACTTACATTTAAATGCTTACTTTAAAAATCACTTCACATCCATTCCTGTTTGAAACACTTAGATGCCAGACCTTCGATTCATTTGCTAAAATGACTCATAACTTCTGTTCTTTAGAAACAATATACTGAGTTTTTTTAAAGGACAGGAAACAAAATAATTGATAAGCTGAATCTTAAAAAGAAAGGGCACAGTAAGGAAAAACAGTAGCATCTAAGACAGTCATAGCCAAACTCGATCGGTCTCAACTAACATTGGATACTGATTTCTAGTTTCTAAACTGAATGCAATTTCTTTCCTTGATTCCTTCCTAAATTTTGTTTGTCTTCCTATGAGACAAAAAAAAGAGTGAATAGCTAAGTTTTAAAGTGTAGACACTTGATTTCATACACTCCTGGAAATTTTTATTTCTTTAAAGTTAAACTGGACCATAAATTCATGTTTCATATTTCAGATTTTTAAAAAAATAAAATATTAACAACGTGCTCACAGTAGATTATTATTTTTACAAGTAGATTTAAAAGCAATGCAAGTACAATAATCATATGGAAAATTATCAACACAACCCACTAATCATCAGGGAAATACTAATCAAAACTGTAATTAGAGGCTGGGGCCTATAGCACAGTGGTTATGGTGCCAGCCACATACACCTAGGCTGGTAGGTTTCAACCTAGCCTGGATCAGCTAAAAAAAAAAAGATAACTGCAACAAAAAAAATAGTCGGGTGTTGTGGCGGGTGTCTGTAGTCCCAGCTACTTGGTAGGCTGAGGCAAGAATTGCTTGAGCCCAAGAGTTTGAGGTTGCTGTGACCTGTGACACCATGCACTCTATGAGGGTGACATAGTGAGACTATATCCCCAAAACAAACAAACAAACAAAACTATAATTAGATTCTACCTCACACCTACTAAGGTGGCTACTCCAAAAAAAAAAAAAAAAAAAACCAACCAACAAACAAACAAACAGAAAACAGACTGAGCATAGTGGCTCACGCCTATAATCCCAACACTCTGGGAGGCCAAGGAGTTTGAAAGGATCTCTTGAGGTCAGGAGTTTGAGACCAGACTGGTTAATATAGCAAGACACTGTCTGTACAAAAAAATAAGAAAAATTAGCCAGGCGTGGTAGTGTGTGTCTGTAGTCCCAGCTACTTAGAAGGCTGAGGCAAGAAGATTGCTTGAACCCAGGAGTTTGAGGCTACAGTGAGCCACAATCATATCACTATACTCTTGCCTGGGTGTAGCAGGCAATAGCGTGAGACTCTCTCTCAAAAAATTAAAAAATAAAAAATAAAAATATACAAAACCCCAGAAAATAATAAGTGTTGGTGAAGATGTGGAGAAACTGGAATCCTTGTGCACTAATGGTAGGAATATAAAATGGTATGGTCAGTGTGAAAAAACATCATGGTAGTTTCTTAAAAAGTTAAAAATGGAATTATTACATGATCCAATAATCTACTTCAGTGTATACTCAAAGGAATTAAAAGCAAGTAGATCTCAAAAGAGGTATCTATACACCTGTGTTCACTGACACATCATTCACAACAGCTAGGACAGTGGAAACAGCCCAAGGGTCCATGGATGGGTGAATGGGGACACACAGTACACTTTTACTCAGACCTAACAAGGAATGAAATTAGGATATATGCCACAACTCGGGTGAACCTTAAAGACATTATACTAAGCTAAATAAGCCAGTAACAAAAAGACAAATATTATATGATTCCATTTATATGAAACATTTAGAATAGTTTAAATCATACAGACAGAAAGTAGAACAGTGGCTGTCAGGCCCTGGAGGGGGCCGGGGAGTTATTATTTAATGGGTACAGAGGGTCAGTTCCGCAGGATGAAAAGCATTACGGACATGGACAGTGGACGGTCAGAAGACATTATTAATATATTTAATACCATTAAAATTTAAATTAAAATGCTTAAAATGGTAAATTTCATATTATGTGTATTTTAACACAATTTTAAACATTAGCAGATAAAAAGGCAAGTAAATTTGTAAGGAAGACAAAGTTTAGACCAATTCCTATATAAAAAGAAAACGTTATTTCATGAATAATCTTCACCTCGGATAGCAGGAAAAAGATAACTGTAAAGCTAACTGGTCCTCTTGAGACCACAGGCATACTTCATTTCAGAAGCTTAAGAGAGTGGAAGTGACCAGAGCTGTGTGACCAGGTACCTGAGTAAATGAAGCGAAGGATGTCCAGGAGACAGGAGCAGAAGAGGGTGTCCTTCACGACGACGCGCAGCGGGGGGTTGCCGGGAGATTCCTGGCTAGCACCTGGAAAGGCAGCGTCTCTGTTTATGGCAAAGAGATCCTGGGTGGTCTGGATGATGCTGGCATCCTGAATGTCTCTGGGGCTCTTCACGCTGAAGAGCAGCATGAACACATGGCTGACAGCGCAGAGGAGGATCTTGTGGGCCTCCGCCACCTCCGCCAGATCTGCGCTGTAGAAGACCACGTCCACACACTGGCAGCCCAACAGCAAGTTATTCAAGTCAGAGTTGTAATGCGATGCTTCTGCCTTTAAGACAGGCATTTTCTCTGTTTCGAAAAACAAAAGGAAAATAATAAATTCCTCTTTAGTTCTATAAATCCAGTAATTTTGTGTTCTCTTTAAATACAACAAAACAGTACTTTTGAAATAATATCAAGGCTCGGTGCCTGTGGCTCAAGCGGCTAAGGTGCCAGCCACATACACCTAAGGTGGCGGGTTCGAATCCAGCCGGGCCCTGCCAAAACAACAATGATGGCTGCAACCAAAAAATAGCCAGGCATTGTGGCGGGCGCCTGTGGTCCCAGCTACTTGGGAGGCTGAGGCAGGAGACTCGCTTGAGCCCAGGAGTTGGAGGTTGCTGTGAGCTGTGATGCCATGGCACTCTACCCAGGGGGATAGCTTGAGGCTCCATCTCAAAAAAAAAAAAAAAAATCAAGTTGTATCATAAGAAATTGCCAATATTTGACCATTTCTGATCTACAAAAGCAGCAATTTTGTATAACTTAGCCTAATTTATAATATATTTATGTTTTTACATTTTATAATAGCAATGAAAAACCTACTCATGACCCCTCAAAAACAATAAACTGCCATTTCTCCTGTGTGTATCACAAAACAAAATATTTCTCCAAATACTGAACTTCAATATTTTAGTAATCATCATTCTTTACTTATACCTGATACAAAAAATTCAAAGTCCTGAGCAAGTTCTGAAGAGCCCAAGCTCCCCTCTGAAGTCCCTTGCCTCCTGGGCTGGGAAGTGGAGGGGAAAGGGCTCAAAGCAATTGTAACTCTGCAACTTCTCAAAGTCAGGCCTGAAATTCCTGGACTCTATTGTTTGAAACCATTTCGATAATTTTATCATTTTGATCCTAAAACTATTAATTTTTTTCTCCTTATAAAACAAGATGCCCCCCCAAAACAGCTCTTTCCACTCAACACACAGAGAAAGTGTGGACTAATTTCCAAAACCGCGCGTCATCTTCCATTTCCTAGCTTGATCACCAGCAAAGAAATTAGCCTTCAACCAGCTCAGAAGACCCACATAGAAGGTCTTAACTGGAAAATGTCTATATCTCGTTTTTTTCCAAAGATAAGCTGAGGAAAGGGATATCTGTGAAGGGTTGGCTAAAGAATGCGCAGGCATCTACATCAGGGGAATTCAAACTTCTGTAGCAATGAAAGTGCTTATTCTAAAGCCAAGCCCAGTCTACATCACAGATAATAACAGGGTCCTCTGTGTCCAGGCAGTCCCCGCTCTAAGGGCCTTTCTACCACCTGGGGCCCTTCACAGAACCCATGTGGTCCTGGACTCATGGGTTGTATTTTGTGTTTAGCTCTCTTAACAGAAAGTTGTGAAAATTGAGACAGGGAACCCTGGAAATGACCTCCCATTCTAATTTTTTTAATTCACATTTTCCCTAATTCCCAAGTCCATTCTAATTTATATTTTCCTGATTTTTATTTATATTTATTCAACAAGCATTTATCAAGTGTCTACTTCTTAAAGATAATATCCAAAACAAACTGATCTGACAGAGTACTATTCTACTATTTCTGTCACAAAAGCATACAAAAAATTCAGATTAAAAGCTGGTTTAATTTATTAAATAAATAGGCTCAGCTTTTACAACTTAATTTTCCCCTAGCTGTCTCATAAGAACATTTTCAAAGATTAAAAAAAGTTGGAAGTCTTGATAGAATGAACACACATCTGTCCATCACTTAGATTCTGCAATTGTTGACATTCTATCTTGTGTCTACACAGATGGACAGGAGCACACACACACACACCGCAGAAGCATCGAAACTTCACCAGCAGAACACTTTGGCTCTAAAATGCTTTCACATTCATCTCCTCAAAATAAGAACATTCTCAATCACAACACTGTAACCATACATAAGAAAATTAACAGTAATTCCATAAGTTTATCTAATTTCTTATCTTAAAATTGTGTCCAAATGTCCCAAGAACATCACTTAGATTTTTTTTTTTTGAGACAGAGCCTCAAGCTGTCGCCCTGGGTAGAGTGCTGTGGCGTCACCGTTCACAGCAACCTCAAACTCTTGGGCTCAAGCGATTCTCTTGCCTCAGCCTCCCAAGTAGCTGGGACTACAGGCACCCATCACAATGCCCAGCCATTTTTTGGCTGTAGCTGTCATTGTTATTTGGGAGGCCCAGGCTGGATTCGAACCCACCAGCTCTGGTGCTGCACCTAGATGTTTTTTTGAAACAATACCAATCAAGGTTAACACACTGCATCCGGCAGCTATTCTGCATTGAACTTTAATCTAGAACAGCTCCTCACCACACACACAATTTAAAAAAGCAACAGGCTCAACTTTTTTTTTGTTGTTGTTGTTGCAATTTTTGGCCAGGGCCAAGTCTGAACCCCCCACCTCTGGTATATGGGACTAGCACCCTACTCCTTGAGCCACAGGTGCCGCCCAACAGGCTCAACTTTTAAGAAAGTTTTTCTCTGGATGTGGTCCAAGTACCAATCTCCTTCAGCATCACCTGGGAAGTTTACTCAAGCAGCTTCCAGGCCCTTCCCCAGGTTTACTAAATCAGAACATCAGGTAAGTCCTGGAGATGCCCAAATTTGAGAACGCCCCCGTTAAGACCCACGAGAAAGGGTCTGCAGAGGACGCCCACTGTGTGTCAGGACGGGCTAAGAAGCGCACGCACCTGGCTGCTCCAACTGAGGGGGTCTAATTCCATGGAATGAGCTGCTCATTTTTCTTTTCTTCATCTTTTCACTTGTCTTCTGATTTAAGGCTTGAATCATAAAATACTCCAACTAAAACAAGAATCAAATTTTAATTAGAGGTCCAACAAAATCACACATCTAACACACACGACCATCTGTATCCCACAGCACATCTGTGTAAACCACGCATAGGTAATGTATGCATTAGCTAACACCCGTAAGCAACATTCTTAAACTAAATAAATATAGTGGAACAGACTGGGCCATGTCTAAACGTAAACAATGCATTCCATTCAATAATGAATTGTTTATTCTCTTTTTAAATTTCTTTTTATAATTTAGAGATGAGGTCTCACTGCTTTGGCCACGCTGGACTCAAACCTCTGGGCTCAAGCGATCCTCCTGCTTCAGTCTCTGAGTAGTTGGGCCTACAGGCACTGCCACCACATCAGGCTTCTGTCTTGAATAATCAAGAAAGCTAAGTGCTGTGATTGTGTGGTTGTCAGTAATTTTCTCATTGGGTAACCACCCGCCCACCACAGTTAATAGCAATGAAATTCAAAGCAGCAACAGAGCTGGTTCCATGTTTACAAATGTTCCTATCAGCTAGGAATCTTCACTTGTTTCTCTTGAACAAATTTCTTTGAAATCTGTCCCTTACAAATTAAAAATCTCATCTATATGCACTTACATAGCTCTGGGCCTGGAGCAAAAGCACAAATGGAGGTCCACCCACAACACACCTAAGTATTTAAACGCTGCAAATCAGGAAAATACGTTGTTATATAAAAGCTACCCTATACTCCTGCTTTGACAAATATATCATCATAAAATCCCAGCAGGGTCAGATTTATATTGAAATTCCCTGACTCTTCTGAGGTTCATTGGCACAGGGAGAGCTGGTCCCTAACTCCTGTCCCAGGACCACCCTTCCTTTCTTGCCCTGTTCCATCCCATGCTCTAAGGAACACACACACAGGTGGACATCCACCCACCCCTCCATTCTTCATGAATAATCTCCCTCGGCCACCTCTCAGGCCTGGGGGCTGTGCACCAGAACGTGGGCCACCTTCAGGAGGACAAACCCAGGAAAATGACCTGCAGAAGCCCAAGAAACAGACTCAGGACCAGAGGTTAGGGAGCTGTGTGTCCCAGGTTTAGAAGCCAGGACCACAGGTTAGGGCCCTCTGTGTCCCAGGTTTAGAAGCATAGTCATAGCACCGTCTAATAAAACTGTGCTGATGGGAAAATTCCTTATCATCTGCACTAACTAATACACTACCACTAGCCATATAAAGCTCTAGAGCCCCTGAAATACAGCTAGTATGCTTGAGGAACTGATTTTTATTTCATTTTATTTTAATTTATTTATGTTTTTGAGATAAGAGTCTTACTATGTTGCCCTTGGTAGAATGCCGTGGTGTCACAGTTCACAGCAACCTCAAACTCTTGGGCTTAAGCGATTCTCTTAGTTCAGCCTCCCAAGTAGCTGGGACTATAGGCACCTGTTGCAACACCCGGCTATTTTTTTGTTGTTGTAGTTGTCATTGTTATTTGGCAGGTCCAGGCTAGGTTCAAACCCATTAGCCCCAATGTATGTGCCTGGTGCCCTAGCCACTGAGATATATGGGCTGAGCCTTTATTTTATTTTATTTTATTTTGATGAATTGATATGGCTAGTGGTGCCATATTGGATGGTGCAAGTCTGAAAGGGGGACCAGCCCCAGATGGGCACAGCCCTGGTCCCCGCAGCCCTGGTCCCCACAGCCCTGGTCCCTGCAGACCAACTAGGACCCATCCAGGTGAGCAGTTCCTTTGACTGAAGTGGAGCTGTGACAAGGGTCAGAGTGTATAAAATCTTGCCAAAGCACACACAGAGGAAGAAAAACTACTTTTTTCCAACTAGTAGATGAAAATGAAAGAAAACTTTCAGGACCCACTGGTTGAGGCTGTATGAAGATTACTAACTATTAAAACAGGTGGGGGGGGGTAAACATGCTTTTGATATGAACAACAAGCACCAATCCAGTGTCAGCAAATGAAAAGTTCCACTTTACCATATTAGACAATAGAAAATGTTTCATTCAGAGAAAAAAATTAAATTACAATTTTACTCTGATTAAACCTTTCTTACTCACCACTCTCACTTTATGTCTCAAGGTCAAGACTCTAATTACACTTTTTTTTTTTTGAGACAGAGCCTCAAGCTGTCCCCCTGGGTAGAGTGCTGTGGCATTACAGCTCACAGCAACCTCCAACTCCTGGGCTCAAGCGAGTCTCCTGCCTCCGCCTCCCAAGTAGCTGGGACTACAGGCGCCCGCCACAACGCCCGGCTATTTTTTGGTTGCAGCCATCATTGTTGTTTGGCGGGTCGGGCTGGGGATTCGAACCCGCCACCTTAGGTGTACGTGGCTGGCGCCTTAGCCGGTTGAGCTATAGGTGCCGAGCCTAATTACACTTTTAAAACTGAAGTTCTAAGTCAGTAGTTCTCAACCTTACCAATGCTGTGACCCTTTAATACAGTTCCTGTGGGTCACGACCCACAAGTTGAGAACCACTGTTCTAAGTGATGCTCTACAAAACAATAGAAGGCTGAAAATGACTTTCCACACCACTTACCACCCCTCCGAAGTATTTCCCTATGTAGAAGTCATCGAGGCTATGCAGCTCCAGGTAGGTGGCCCCCAGCTCTCTGGCCAGCTGCACCCCCTCGGTCGTGCTGACACAGCTCCCTCTGTCTGAGGTGCACAGCGGGCAGGTGCAGGGCAGTTCTTCTGAGAATATAAATTTGAAAACAAGGAACTTTGAAATTAAACTAAAGGAAAGTAGACAATCTGACCATTAAATAACAAACAAAAAGCTCATACCAGAACCACAGTTCAAGAGCATTCAGTCCATCCACTGTCCACTAGAACAGTATTTCCAGCCTTTTTTATCTCACAGCACACTTTAACCTACAGTTAAACTTCTGCAGCACACTTACAACAAAAAGAGTAAAAAAAGAATTTACTTACTGTGCTTTGAACCTTTGAAAATAATTTAATTAATAATCTTAAAAAGTTTTCACACACACCTAAGGCCCTCTCACAGCACACCAGTGTGCCAACGGTTGAAATCACTGCACTAGACTCAGAATAAAAAGTGTGAATGATAACAGAAAGGTCCCTAAATAAACAAGCATTAGCTCAGGAAGAATAAATACTATTTTAGAAAACAGAAGAATGTAAGAGTGAATGAATATTACCAAGGCTAATATAGACAGCAGACCAATCAGCCAGTAATGGTGGGTCTGCTTCCTTTCACACAGCCTCGATGTCCTGAATAGTAATCTCACTAGGCAGGCAGAAAAGATCACAAATTTAACAACTTGCTTGCCTAGAAAGCACTGGAAACAGTGGGCGGGACTTTTTTTGTAGTACACTTTAAATGGATTTATGAAGTCTGAACAAACCAAATAGTTTTATTTTAACAGAACCCTCAATTTGACCTGATTTTCAAAGCTGCAACACGCACTCCCTTTGTAAAGTTTCCAGAAGTGCACTCTTATTAATGCAGATTTTCAATCACTACACAAATCAAACTTGTACTTAGAATCTTAGATTATATAGATTGATACAGAAGAATACAGGAATAGCTCAGAAGAGAATTTCTGAAGCTCTGAAGCAGGTGTCCTCAAACTATGGCCTGCAGGCCACATGCAGCCTGCCTAGGACATTTATCCCGCCTGCCAGGTGTTTTTGCTGACGCTGCCTGTCCTGCTTAGCAGCCAACTTGTCCCAGGGCCCGCAGTCTGGCCCTCCAATGCTCCGAGGGACAGTGAACTGGCCCCCTGTTTAAAAAGTTTGAGGACCCCTGCAGTCTAAAGCATTCAACTTTAGAGACCAAATTCAATCACTCTTTTCCTTAAAAAAAATTTAAAACTGAAAGGAAAAAAATATTTACTCAAGATATACAACTATCATGTGCCCATAATAATTAAAAATTGTAAAAATTATTTACTCAACAAGTGAAGCATCCCAAGATTCATGGTGGCACCATGTACGGATCTACAGCTGGGAAGGTACTGGATCAAGCTACCCACCAGACACTTCCTTGTTAGGCTAAACGTACACGCTGCACTCCATATTTGTCAGCTAGCCTGGTTTTGCTTCACAACCACATCACGTGTGTCACTGTTCAAAAGGATGCCAGGTCAAAGAGGACAAACTTATTTCCAGAAATGCATGTTGTTGTAGGCTGGCATCCCTGGGAAGCAGACTCTGAGACAGAAACCGGTGTGCTGGAGGTTGACCGGGGGTGATCCTGGGAACAACTCTTCTCAGGGGTGAGGGGTGCAGGACTGGGTAGGGGGAATGGGCCCTGCAGTGCAGTCACCACACAGACCACAGCTGACCCTGCAGAGGGCCTGGGAGCCTGGATGGCACTTGGGGGCAAAGGCAGCTTTGTACCTTAACCCCTAAACCAGGGGTCCTCAGACTTTTTAAACAGGGGGCCAATTCACTGTCCCTCAGACCGTTGGAGGGTCGGACTGCAAGCCCTCGGACGAGTCTGCTGCTAAAGCAGGACAGGCAGAGGTGGCAAAAACACCCGGCAGGTGGGATAAATGTCCTAGGCGGGCTGCATGTGGCCTGCAGGCCATAGTTTGAGGACGTTTGCCCTAAACCAACCAGTAACTAGACGTGGGTTACACATGTGAAGGGTGTAACTGTGGATGAGAAAGCTCCCATCAACAGAAAGCAAAGCCTGGAAAATGACTGTGCTGTGTGCCATCAGCAGCCAACACACTCAGTAACTCAGGGAGCCATGACAGTGGCACGTGAGCACCTCTCAGTGTGCACCACACACGTCCTGCTGAAGAAGATGGAGCACACATGTGTGCACAGGGTGTCTGGCACGATAGTCAGCGCATTAAAGCACTACTGCGCATGTGCGTGTGCACGCACAGACACACGTGACTCAGTAACTTCAGTTTAACTGAAAGCAGTTTAGACCTCAGAGACCACAAGTTCACATCCTCATTTTGCTGGAGAGGAAACTGAGGTGCATAGAGATTATGAGACTTGTCCACATCTTCTTGTGAGTTACAGACAGAGACACAATAATAAAACTATTACCTGCTCCACCTCATAAAAGTGATATCCAAAGATAATTTTTTTTTTTTTTATTGAATGGTAGCTATGTACATTAATGCACTTCTGGGGTACAGTGTGGGGTTTTCACACACAATCCGAAACACTTCCATCAAACTGGTCAACAGAGCCTTCATGTCATTTTCTCAGTTATTGTTTTAAAACGTTCACATTCTACTCTTAGAAAGATTC